TAGTACGTGTAGCTTGGAAATGATTCCGTGACCAAAAAGACGCGCCGGGCCCCGCATGAATATTCACCAGCCGTTATACCTCCACGGAAAAGTTTGCACTTGATGAAAATTTTGCTGAGCCGGGGATGTGACGTGACGGTTTGCCTTTGGCAGAAAGGTTAGTTAGACATTTTGCGTTTCCGGGCAGTATGTTAATTTCGCATGCAGAGTGCATTATATGGATTTTAGAAATTCTAGGGCGTTCCATTGCTTGATCCTCTGGACGGGAGACTATAGCCGCTAAAATAAACCCAAACCGGTTTTGTCATAATACGATTTGCATTCGTCATTGTCGGAGAGGTCCGTAACGCTTTGACTCCTGGCTGAAGTAAAGTAGCTCAGTAGATCTATCAGTCGCTGTTGCTTGGTGTCCAGAAAAGGTAAACGATAAAGAAGGAAAAAGAAAAGATAAGAAGGGAAGAGAGAGGCAAAGAGAAGAAAGTGTGGTAGATGGAAGGGTGCTTTCACCTTGTAACTCATTAAATTTATTGTTATGGAAAGATTTAAATATAGATGATCCTAGAAATATATGGTTTAATTGAGGGCCACGCATGGAAACTTGATCGATTCTTAGTCTACGGACCCAGGTAACAGAGTGCATGGCTCTGGCAGACTAACTGTCATCACAAGCCCGAACAAAGTATCTGCTAAATTCACATTTTACAGGAGCGATGAGAATATGTTGCAATGCTTTTCAAATTTGAAGGTTTTATGGAAAAAGGATGCTTTTGGTTTGTACCCGGTTGAAACTGATAATATGTCCTAACGAATTCATTAACCTTACCGTGGATGCCTATCTATAAATAAGAAAAGCATATACTGTTACCCAAGAGTTGTCTGAGCTACTACTTCTTTCATAGAATATGAAACCTATAAACAATTTTCACAGTATCCTCACATATATGCTAAAAAACCAAAGAAAAGCAGTTAGAAATATTATGAATTCGGTGTGATTAAGTGTATGTCTTATAGTATTTGCTAGCGCCACTGACTTGGTTATAAACTAAAACACAGAATCTCCATGACTTCCAAGCAAGAAGTAAGTGTCATTTACGTTTTAATTTATTGTTCTGTAGATACAGTATTCTGGATAAGATGATCGTTAAAACGCTAGATACTGTGAAAAATTAGATTTCCGGTATTTATCATGAAATGTACTGTACTTTGACATCGAAATATGACGTCAGTTTACTGCCCTACTCAGGTAAGGGCAGTTAAGTATAAGAATCGTGAGTCTGCGAAAATTGAGTCCACGTTTCTAGACTTTTGGAACTGAATAAACAGACAGAATAAAAATAAATGAATATTGAAAAGTTACTTAACTTTATATATAGAAAGTCTTTTAAATGTAATTTCCGATCATAATTGTTGTCGAGGGCTAAAGTTAATGTCGTAAACCAAAAAACAGTAACACGTGATTTACCGTTTCTATACTAAGCAAAAATAAAGTTGCCGCTTTTCTTGATAGTTTCGGTAATAAATTTATATTTTTCCAGAAAAAAAAAACGCAGTGTTACAGAATTTTATCTTATTTTAACATAATTTATTGATATTGAAATTAACACACAAATGTCACAAAAGTTGGTCTTTGCAACATCTAATAATTCAGTTTATTAAATATATAATTACGAGCCCCTTCCCACTTCAGTTGGCCCAGCTATTGAAATCTTAGTTTTGTTCTTATCAAACACAAATAATAAAAATGTAGCAGGGTGTTATAGGTTTAAAATATTAACAGTGAATATTTTGATAATATATAGTAGAAAACACCAACTTTATCACTCCCTAGTCAAATTTGCAGCATAAAAATAGCACATGTTGCAATTACAGCATATCAACCTATTTTCACTTCAATGCAAAATAAATCTATAACGCATAGGTGGCTGTGTAAAATAAAAGCCATGACAATTGTTTTTATTAATCACAGCTGTCAGAATACGTTTAAAATAGTTTTGGTTAGTTAAGGTTTTCAGAATGGGTAGAGGAAAGGTTATTAGTGAGAAAATTCGGTTACTGATAATTAAATTTTTTAATTCTGGGAAATCAAACTCAGAAATTGCAACTTTGTTAGACTTGTCGCGGTACAGTATGAGAAATATTGTTAGAAGATATAACGTAACTGGTTCAGTTAATATTAAGCTACGATATGTGAAAAAAAGTAATATCACAAAAGCCGACCGAAGAGCATTAAGAAGAATAGTCGTGAAAAACAGGCATGCCAATTATTTACAATTAAGTGCTCTGTGGAGTGACGCTGTTGCAAGGAGAATTTCGAGGTCCACAACGCATAGAGAGGCCCACAAACTGTGATTTATCACTTGCAAGGTAAGCTTTCTTAAAAAAAAAGTGAAGTAAAAACCCTGAAGTCACAACTTGTTTGTAGGCCAAAGAAAAGCCACTATTAACTCCACTGCAAAAAAAAAATCGGCTTAGATGGGCTAAAGAACATAGGCAATGAACACCTCAACAATGGTGTGCAATACAATGGAGTGATGAGGCCCGATTCGAAGTTTGTGTTGGTGACAGTCGCAGTAGAGTTATTCGCAAGAAAAAATTAAGCATTCCATGTTGACTGACTCAAGAGAAAAGTGAAATTTCCAGCATCCATTATGACCTGGGGCAGTATGTCATCAAAAGGAGTAAAGAATCGCTTTTAGCAGTGATGGAAGAATGTTTGACATCCGGCCAAGATTTTGTCTTTCGGCAAGATGGTGCAGCGTGCCAGACCTTAAAACAGGCTATAAAATGGATGGAAGAAAATAATGTACCACTTTTGAAATGGGTTTCTAGCAGTCACAATTTGCGTTTTTGACCACCCTGTATGTGCAAAAATTAAAATTCGAAAAAGCAACAAATAAGATGAAAGCTGAGGTGTGTAAGTTTCTTATGATACAGAACTCAGCACTCCAAATTTCAATATAACGGAGTGAGGGGTTTTTCTAAACAAAACACCTTATATCTCAGTAGCTAATTAACAAAACCCCATAGTATGTTATATCAATTTTCTTCTTTTGAATTGGTTTATCCAAATATGCGATAAAATTTAAGGCATTCTATTTGAAAAATCGTAACTTTGATATGTAGTTCGAAATTGAGGCACCCTGTATAATGGACAATAGAACTGTAACTTCAAATGTCGTGTATAACACCCCAGAAATATATTTTCCCAAAATCTATTTGTTTATGAGTAATATTCCGTCCACACGTGGATGGGCCACCCTGTATAAAGCGATGCTGGCAGTCTTACTTTGACCTGCCAAGAACGGTGACTACAGCTGTACCAGTTTCTTAACAGTTCACCGCTTTCAATATCTTCATGATAAATCTTGAATAAAGAGAAGAGAGAAGTAAAATGTTGACACTATATTGATCTTCAATGGATGAGTTGAGAAAAACAATGTGCAGAGCGCTTGTTTAGTCTTCCAATCTTTTCTAATTCTAGTCCGTGACATGTCACGTATATCAAAATAGGAAATGGTAAGCGTTTATCGACTATGCCCATTTTATATAAACTCAAGAAATGTTGGCTGAGATTATGAAACAAATCGTCGGCTAAATACGTTAAACTGCTAACTACATTTTCATCACTTTGGAGATATTTATCTATTTCACAACTATGACTCCTTTTTTATCATACCAAAACTAAATGTTTGTCAAGTTGGTACGAAAACTGATTGAAAAGCCATGATGAATAAAGCTGCTAACTGATCCCCACACGTTATTCATCGAAATACTGCTATCTCCAGTCAAAACAAAGTGACAGGTGAAAGGGTGCTCCTCAAACGCTCTTCAGCTCTAGAATAAACGTGACTTCTTTTGAAATATCACAGTTTGACATTAGTTTGGTGTTCCGGTATTACTTTTTGATGAAAGGTAAGTTTGATTTTGTAAAAATATGTTTATTTTGGTTTGTACTAAACAAAATTACCGTTATGTTAGAGTGGCAGCTTTTCTCTTAAAATACGTTTGGGCGTATTTGGGAGATATCAGTATTCATTATTGTTTTTTTTTTAAGAAATTGACTTGTTGAGTAAGCTATTGGTGTATGAGTGTGCCGTTTTTTTATTTTTGAACAGCAATCGGTTAGGCGTCTAGGTTAGGTTGCATACCAGCGTATCTACATCGTAGTCGTACGTTGTATAATTGTACGCTGGCGCTGTGGACGTGATCGAGGGTCAGGACCGTCTTCGGTTTGGTTCAGGTTTGATTGAGATTGCGGAACCCAATATCTCGGTTCTCTTGAGACGTTGATGTATATGAAAATCCGCTTAATTTCTCAAGGTCTACACGTCGTATAAAGGAAAACCCTAACTTGGCGGACAACCTGTATAACGCTCATGCATTAAACAAAAATGAGGTCAGGGTAGAAAAACAAAAGGCCGTGGAAAACGAGAAATGCGTATTTACTGTTGATCTTCAAGCTATTTTAATGCCTCCTAAACCTAATGTTAGCAGCTCATATAACAAGACAAAATTATGCGTTCACAGCCTTTGCTTTTATAATAATTATGCTCAACAAATTGTTTCTTATGGCATGAGGGGAAGGGTGGACTAACCGCACAAGAATTTTCCTCATTTTTGGACACAAAAGTTATTCCTACAATGGACAAAGATGACCAAAAGATAATAATGTGATGGTTGTACGTACCAGAACAGAAACCTGACTTTGGCTAACGCAGCTTTAAGTTTATGCAGAAAACATGATATTACACTTTAGAATAAATATTTAGATGTTGGACTCCATGCATGCCATCATAGAACGTTGTGTAAATCGAGTAAAGAACCAGAAAAAATCATAACCTCTACGAGGTAATGTACTTAGATCACTCTTTCTCGCGATTAATCAAAAAAGTTAGGAGCTGTTAGAATTATTTGACCAGGGAATAAGCTAGGAGAACCAAAAGTAATTAAAACCTTTAAATTGTGCTCGGTATATTTAATTGTTTAATTTTTATTTGTAGGTAACTGATATTCGGGGCCTAAAATATACAGCAGTCGGGGACATCTATTATAAACTTCGGTTGTCTGATGAATGGGAATTACTTTCGCAAAGCAAATCTAAAGTTGACATTATTACCTGGACGGTGTTGGACCATCTGTATAAAGATAAAATCCCAATATCTGTGCGAAAATATTCCGACCTTCAAGAAATTAGCTGTACTATTCCCGCGGACTATAACCATTTTTATAATAATTTGTCACACCTGTGAATTTTTAGATGTTTTAGTTTAGATGCTTTGATCATTTTGAATACACTAAAAGAAGTATTGTACTAAAAATAAAAGTTGCTAACTCCAAAATTCCTTCTTTTCTATTCAAATGAACAACTGCCAACTCCAGTTTTTGCCCATAAAATCTAATATAGTAATTTTTTCCACATCTATTTTTTGTTAACACATTGACAATATCATCAAAAATATTCTTCTTTGATAGCGGCTTGTTTAAATGCACACCATTGCTGTAAAATCGTTTTTTGATCCTCCTGTAAACCTCACAAAAAGGAATCAGCAGCTTAACGTATTTAGCCGATGAAATGACTATTTGATCATTTCAAGGCCCACTCAGGAAGCACTGTTTTCTTTGAACTAAACATGATGGTTTCATACGTCCGACCAAAAGACAGCAAGCCATGGACAGCCGTTTGTGATTTTTGGCTACTCATCAACCTAATCTAGGATTGGTCCCTCGCCTCTGGAGGTACGGTCTACCGAAATAAGATAGCACAAAGCGCCATCTGTCACCAGAAAAGACCACTGACGAGCCGCTATTTAGTGGAACTATACATATCTCAGTTCACTTTAATAGCCCAGCCACCAGGTGACCTCTAAATGACCATTCTGGCCCTGGTCCACTTGGCATTGGATATACTAATTGAACTTAGTATGCTACTGTGTAGATGACTACAATTTGAGGAATACTTCTCCACACCTGTCGTCACTCCGTTTCAAATCCCTATGAATAAAGCCCGTACGTATCAAATCAATTCACATCCAGCCAGATTTATGGCTTTTATCACGAATTCCACCTCTTTTTTACAGAATTCGTATGCACGATATAGCTTTGCACGAGCGCTCAAAAATCTAATCTTTCCCTTGATTTGTAGGACTTTATGGGATGACAGTCGATGCAAAACCAAAAAAGGAGGTTGGCGCTTCCGTGGTAGTTTTGCTGTGCGGCAGTCGAGAAGCATGCTATTCTGTCAGCTGTCGATGATTCGACGAAGGAAGTGTTGGATTTAACGGAAATAATAACGCGCTAAAGGCGTCTGTTATGTACACGAGGCCAACGATGGACGCAAAGGTATACGTTGTCGGGTCATTAACAAAATGATATTTGAAAGATGGCTCTGTTACGACCAAAGAACGAAAACGATTTTTGAGCAAGAAACAGCTCATAATGCATTGTAAAACATCCTCCTTCGTGTTATAATATACTAAGTGACATATAAATCCGAACACACAGTTTAAATGGTTTCATTTTAATAAAATTTTGTATAAGTACTTAATGAAGCATAATAAGTAGATGATAAAAATTTCAAAATGATTGCACTGCTTTAAAGCCCTTTGACCTTGAATAATGTTTGGATGCACCCTGATGTGCTACGCATTCTCCAACGCGCCTAGGCATGCTTCTGATCAGGTGGTCAATGTCCTCCTGTGGTATCTCATTCCAGGCAACCACCAACTCCTCTCGAAGTGCTTCTAGGCGACGTGGTGAAAGGAGGAATCCACAGTTTTTTGTTGAAAGATATGTTCATCACACTGTTGGAGTTATGGTTTGGGGTGCTATAGCTTATGGTTCCAGGTCACCTTTAATCTTCATCAGAGGTAACATGAACGCGCAGCGTTATATCCACGAAGTTCTAGAACCCAATCTTTTACCCTATCTTGACACCCTGGCAGATCCAACTTTCCAACAAGATAATGCCCGACCACATGTTGCAAGAGTCACAATATACTTCTTTCAACATAATGATGTCACATTGTTACCATGGCCACCAAGATCTCCCGACTTATCCCCAATTGAGCACGTGTGAGATATGATGGGTAGGAGATTGTTCAATTTGCAACGTCCTCCTCAGACTCTAGAAGCACTTCGAGAGGAGTTGGTGGTTGCCTGGAATGAGATACCACAGGAGGACATTGACCACCTGATCAGAAACATGCCTAGGTGCGTTGGAGAATGCGTAGCACATCAGGGTGCATCCACACATTATTAAAGGTCAAAGGGCTTTAAAGCAGTGCAATCTTTTTGAAATTTTTATCATTTACTTATTATGCTTCATTAAGTACTTATACAAAACTTTATTAAAATAAAACCATTTAAACTGGGTGTTCGGATTTATATGTCACTTAGTATAATATAATATAAATTGGTGACAATGAGGTAAAGCCATGACGCGTCTTACGATAAGCATTGTGTGGTAACTCTAGATATTATTTTACCACCTACTTTGACTAGCTTTTTAGATTTTTCTGTCATGGGTGACGTCAATGTTAATATGCTGTCTGACAATTTAATAAATCAATGCTTTACTACTTGTGGCTTCAAGCAAATGGTTAGTCAACCAACCAGAGTAACAGCAAGTAGGTACACATTGTTAGGTCTAACTTTCATACCTCTTCTGATACCAGTCATGCTCTAATTTTGATTCTAATTCTATACAGGGTGTATCAGAGATAATACGCCTGAGTGACACGGAAGGTAGACTGACTTCAGATCAATCAAATAAAATCAATATGACCTTATTAAAAGGTTTCTAGGTTTCGAGAAATTGCCACTTTTAAGCTTTTTCAAAACATCCCCACTTTTTGCTCCATTTTTGCCTGTTGTGGCTATTAGCAACTTCTAACTTATCATTAATACTACCATTAGTAGTTGGCTGAGACAAAATAATTAAAATTAAAATCAATACTTCGAATCCTAGAAAACGTTTACTAAGGTCATGTTGATTATATGTGATTGACCTACCTCCAGTGTCACTCTGGCGTGTTATTTCTGGGACATCCTGTATAAGATCACAAGCTTGCCTGCTTGATCTTGCATGTCAGTAACAATAAAACTAGACAAAAGCTCGTTACTTTCAGTGGTAATCTCCGGAGCTTTAGACAAAAAGCTGATTGTAGTTCTTGTCTATTATAAAGCTTTCAGTATAACCAACCACAGCTGGTGGCTTGTTACCCTACGGACTAGGACTTCGATCAAAAAGCGAATAGTTTTTTCAGAAGTCTCCTACAAAATTGCGCGTTCCTTTAAACATCAAATTTTTAGAAAATTACGTCTGTTGGACCTCAAGGATCGGTCTTTGGCCAGCTACATTTTCTTTTATACATTGCTGACTATGCTCAAAAAAAATTTAAGCTCTGATATAATAATAATAATAATAGACGTCTTTATTTATCCACAATTACATTGTAGTATAGCCAAATGTCAGACTTATATGGCGAAGTTTAGCATGCTGCTACTCTTACACTTAACCATATAGTCTCTAGCAGATGTTCAAAAGAATACACTATCCACAAACAGATTTGGTTCATTACATCGAAAGTAAAACTTAAAAAAAAGAGAAAAAGGCATACTTTCCAAACCCAAATGCACCAAAAAATTATTAATCTGAATTAAAGATGGAATAAAAAAGAAATGGATGATTACGTAAATTATATGTTTGGAGGGTTGAGTAATAATGTTTTAACTTTTTGTCGAAAGACAGGTAATGAAAATTCTTTATATACTTTAGGAAGGTCATTATAAATAATAGCAACATTGTAAGAAAAACTGCGTTTAAAAAGTGTAGATGTATGCAGGGGTATTCTAATATTATTTTCTCTGAGAGTTCTACAGTGAACATCATTATTAAATGAAATTTTTTCCTTCAAGTAATAAGGTTTAGACGTGAGCAGCAATTTGTGAACAAAAACTGAATAGTGATACTTGACCACGTCATTAATTTTTAACCAGTTTAGAACGGGATATTTCGCCGATACTTGATCAAATTTACGTAAGCCAAAAATGAATCGTATACAATTGTTTTGAATAACTTGAATAACGTTTTTAGTGAAATTGTCTAAACAAGTATAGTATACGATATTACAATAATTTAGTATAGATATGACCAATGCTTCACATAGTTTTTTACGCATCTTAAAATTTAGTAAATACCTATTTGTTATAAGAGTGCGCAGCAGTAGGTAGGTTTTCTGAGATAGACTTTTAACATGTTCAATAAACCTAAATTTTGTATCAAAAACAATACCAAGAATTTTTGCAGAATCAGAAAATTGCAAGATTTGGTTATTTATCTGAATGTTCAAGAGCTGTGTTACATTGTATGTTTTTCTTTGTGCGCAAAATAATAACATTTTAGATTTTTGTGGATTAATAAGTAGATTGTGATCTAAGAGTATTTAATTAATTTATTAACATCGTTTTGTAAAATTTGAGTAGTATTATTGACATTATCTCGGTTAAAATAATGAAGCAATTGCGTATCGTCTGCAAATGACTGGACATGAGAATTATCAATACTTTTGCTTAAGTCGAACGTATATATGAGGAACAGAAGCGGTCCCAATACAGAGCCCTGAGGTACGCCTGAGGGAATTATTGTCACTTGAAACATTTCTTGATTGAGAAAAACACACTGAGTTCTTTGATGAAGGTTACTGTCGAAAAATGAAAGGGATACACTGTCAAGACCTATGTAATTTAATTTAGCAAGTAATAATTTATGATTGATACTGTCAAAGGCTTTCAAATAGTCTATATAAATTAAGGCTAGTGCCATTTTCTTATCTAAGGCACTTAAAATATTGTCTTGCAGATTAAGTAGGGCAGATGTTGTACTATAATTTTTTCTAAGTCCGGATTGAGTGTCGGGAAGTATAAAGAATTTTTCTAGGTAAGCGGTCAATTGGAACTTTATAATTTTTTCTAAAATTTTGGATAAAATTGGTAATAAACTGATAGGTCTGAGATTATTATACTCAGTGGGTTTAATTTTTTCAGGAATCGGAATAATTAGAGCTTGTTTCCATGTGTTTGGAAAGTAGCCTTTTTCCAAACAGTCGTTAAAGATGTGGACGATGTGATGGAGAATAACTGGCAGGCAAAGCTGGATCATTGACAGGGATATACCATCAATTCCCTTCGCATCAGATTTTAGGCTCCCTATTGCCTGTCATACGTCATTTGAACTAATCTTATTCAATGAAAAAATATATTCAGAGCTCAATTTATTTTTGAAATAGTTTTCGCAAACTAGTGAATCAACAGGTTTATAGCTATAAACAGAAATAATCATTAAATTTGGTAGGGTCATTAAAACT